TGACTTGTCCAAAATGCACCAATCAACATGGTCATAGGCTTTCTCCCAATCTATCTTAAAGATGAGACCCAGCTGTTTAGACAAAAGCTTAGAATGAATACACTTGTGTGCTATTAAAGCTCCGTCTAGGATTTGTCTTTCTTTGATGAAGGCCGATTGAGACTGTGAGATGAGAAGGGGAAGGACCTGTTGTACTCTTGAGGCACCTTGGCCAGAATTTTGTAGGAGGAATTGAGCAGGCTAATAGGGCGAAAGTCCTTTAGCCCCTCAGCCCTTCAACCTTGGGGACCAAGGCAATGAAGGTGGCGTTGATAGCTTTGTGTAGGATTCCTCGGTGAAAGAATTCTTCGAAGAAGCTCATGAAGTCTGGGTAAAAAGTTCCCATTAAATTTTGAAAGGAGTTATGGGGAACCCATCCAGACCGGGGGCTTTGTCTTTGGCTAAGTCTTCTAAGGCTTTTTGGATTTCCTCTTCCAAGAAAGGTCGCCCAAGCCAAAGGGCCTGGGCTTCCGTATGAGAGAGAGAATCCAGGTCGTCCATTTTAGGTCTGGGGCACAACGGGGCAGCGTAGAGGGTCTAGAAGTAGTTAAGAATAGCCAATTCGATTTCTCCAGGCTGTACCAGATAGCAATTATTTGACTATCAAGTCGAAACGGTATAGTCTCTCCTGCGACAATATGCTATCCGGTGGAAGAACCATACATTATGATCCCATGTTTTTAGCCAATTAACTCTTGATCTATGAAACCAATACAATTCTTTTTTAAGAGTGGAGAAATATTCAAGCTTAGTTTGGATCCGCAGGTTTAATTTTGAATCAGTCAAAGGTCTGGACTCCTCAATACGGTTAAGGGTTTGAATGGAGTTGAGGAGGGAATACTTGATTTGAGAGTAATTCCCGGGCATGGATTACTCCAGGTCTTTAGAGAGGCTTTGAGAAGTTGAATTTAGTTTGGAGACTATAGCCTGCTCTTCCCGAAACCTGGCCTGAGAAGGAGTCCACCAGATAGGAATGAGGGTGGGAAGAGACTTTTCTTCAAGCCAAGCCAGTTCAAAGAGAAAGGGTTTCAGTCCTCTACTGATAGCTTGGGTGTCTAGAAGAATAGGACAGTGATCAGAGGTGGGTTTAGGCAAAGCCATGGCATGAGAGCCCGTGAATAGTCCCTCCCAGTTCAAAGATAGGAGGAACCTATCAAGTTTAGAGAGAGAAGGTTGAGGGGAGTGGTTGGACCAAGTAAAGCGGCTTCCTTGTAAAGAGATATCTAAGAGTTCATTTCGGAAAATAAAGTCTGAGAAATCCTTCATTCCCTGAGAGATGGTAGAATTTGAATTTCTCTCATGCGACCGTCTTATGATGTTGAAATCCCCTCCCAAACACCAAAGAGGGTGGGGTAAGGCAGCAACCTGGTCCAGTTCTGACTAGAGACGAGGTCAAAGAGCAGTTGAGCAAGGGCCATAGATGGCTGAAAATTTCCAACGTAAACTGTTGGAAATGCGTGAAAGAAGGTAACAGAGAATTCCCCTAAATGGGATGAGAGGAGGAGATGATCTGATGGGTTCCAGATCAACCGGATTCCCCCTGAAGCCCCACCCGCAGGAAGAGCAACCCATTGGCAAGGCCTTCTACCCCAGACCTGACAAATTTGAAGGAGGGTAGTTTGGTTTCAGTGAGGGCAAGAATTGTCGAAAGGTGTTTCGAGGTCAAGTCCTTGACTGCCGCCCTTTTGGACGAGTGTCCCAAACCTTTTATGTTCCAAGATACGGTCTTCATGATTTGGGAATAGAAGTTGTGGAAGAAGCTAATCTGGCAGACCTCCTCAGCGAGGGAGAGGAGGTAGAGGATGGGAGATTGGCTAAAGGGGAGCCATCGTAAGAGATAGATGAGAATAGATTCAGAAGCCCCCTTTGTCCTTTAATACTCACCTTTAGACGTCTCTTGGCGTCTGCAAGAAGGAAACGGTGCGCCGGTCCTTCAGAGCCTTCATGTTGGAGCCCATAATACAATAAATTTCCTTCATTCTCGTCGAATCTTTGTCACTCCCATCCCTGTCGACCCCCTCGGCGCTGTCCCTCACCGAAGGGGGAGAGATGGGCGTACCAGGATCCTCAGACGGCTCCATGGCTTGCTCGTTTCCATCCCCGTCGACCCCCTCGACATTGTCACTCACTGAAGGGGGAGAGATGGGCATACCAGAAACCTCGGGCGACTCCATGGCTTGCTTTGAGGGTGGGAGGGGTAGATGAGTGGAGGGGTAAAGGTCAAGGGGTAGGATAGGAAGGGATTCAGAGCAAGAGGGTCAAAGAGAGATGGAAGGGTTTACCGGGCTAAGGGGAACAGAGGGAGAGTGATTAGAAGACAAGGGGCAGGGTAGGCTTATAGAGGGAGCAGAGAGAGTAGGCAAAAGTGTGGAGGGAAGGCAGGACGTGACGAAATGAAGTGGCTTAGCCAAGGAAGGAAGAGGAGGATACGACATGCCCTGGGCCGGGATAAGAGAGGGAGGGGAAGAGGCAAGGTTGAGAACAGCTAGGTGATGGAAAGAGTACAAGCTTGGAGGGTAATAGGATTCAGGGACCGAAGAGGGGAAGTATGTAAGGAAGTGGTGTGACTGGGGGGGGGAAGCAGTATAAGGCCAAGGATAATGAAGGGCATAGTTAAAATGGAGGGTCCGGATTCTGCAAATATGGACAAGATGGGGAGTGCAGGAAAGATGAGGGGCAAGTAGAGAGGAGATGAGGTCTGGGTCGAGGGGGAGGAGTCCGTGGAGTGCACGGCAACTATACCATAAGGAAGCAGAGGTCTGTCCATAGACGAAGGAAGAGAGCAAAGAGCGGAAGGTTGGGGTTCAGTTACAGCCTCAACATCAAGTTGGAGAGATAGGAAAGTAAGAGAGAGGATGGGGAATGGGGGAGGAGAGGGGGAGATGGGGTCCAACAGGGTGTGATCCGGTAGAGGAGGTTGTGTTCAAAGAGGGACGGTAGGGGTGCAGAAGGGGCTTGGAGGGTGCCGTGGGGTAGGGAGAAGAAGATGCACCCACCGCGAGAGAGAGAACATAAGGCGGCAAAGAGGGAGAGGTAAAGAGAACTGGTCGGGTAGGATCTCGAGGGGAGGTAGGATGAAGCGTGTCATTGTCGAGTGGAAGAGAGAGAAGTGGGGGCACCTTAGGAGGTGACAAATGGGGGGAGGAGGTGAGAGCGTCAATTGTAAAGGAATCGGAGAGGAGGAAGAAAGCGGCGACGGCAGGGGCATTAATGAGGGAGGCGACATGTGGCCAACAAAGGGTGGCGCACGGAGAGATGAGGGAAGCGACGTGTGGATAGGAGAGGGCAACGCACAGAGAGACATGTAAACCGACTGGATCTGGTGGACATATGAAGTTAATGCTGAGGGCTGAGAAGTCAAAGGCACCGGCAGAGAGATCGAGGTAGGGGCCCGGCGCACAGGATTGAAGGGGCCGGGTCTGTCAAGGTGACCCGGCGAATCGAGGACATTGTCCACAAGTGGTTCTTTGCCGGGTCGATGTAAGGGGGTTGGAGCTTGGTCAAAGAAGAGCAAAAGCTGGATGACTGCCCACCTACTTCGGGTCTGGATCTCTTCAGGTGGAGGCACCTTCAGCCTACGAAACCGACTTAAAGACGTCCTTCCCATTTCCTGGCCTATCTGGAACGTCATGACGAGGCTACCAAATGGCGGACCGTGGTGGTTTGGAAGCCCTGTTATGGTTTGATGGAGCAGCGGGAGGACTGCCAGCGCCGCCTCCTAGGATGGCGGTGTTTGCACAAAACAGTGGTCCATGACTAAGAAAAGGACTCTGTAGGCGGAGAGGGATACGCGTGATTGAAGTAGTGTTGAGAAGGAGGTGAAGCCACCGACCACAAAAGGGTTACCTGAAAGAAAAGATTGTCAACTTCCAGTCAGACACTAGGTGGGATGCGGCTGGTGTCCAACACCTCCAGAAGAAGACGCATGGAGCCGAGAGGGAGGGTCTCAAGAGATGTCCAATGGATCGAAACAAGGTTATCGCAAACTTCCGCCACTGTCCTGAAGGTGGAAGGGGACCACGCATGGAGAGGAACGTGGTCAAGGGTGAGCCAGATTCTCTGCTTCCTAAAGGACCCTTGAGCCGAGGATCAGACACGAAGGGTGCAGGATGCTCCTTTGAAGGCAGAGGATGGAGGCTCCTGTAAAACACGCAACGCGTAATCTAAGGACGGGAAGGAGAAGAGGAAGTGATCGCCAAAGATACGTCCGCAAGAGAGGTTTGATTCCCCCCATATGCGCTTGGCCCATCTCTCAATTCCCCTGACGTCATCGCGTCTGGGTTAAAAACTTGCCACCAGACACGCTGAGTTTTTGTTTAAGCTGGTTAGACTCCTCTGGTGGGGTTGAGATTATACTGGGGAGAAAGGGAGAAGGAATCGAATAGTGGGACTCCTCCCAGGCGGAGGTAATGACAAGCGGGGCAAAACCAACTTAATCACAATGCAATGTCAGGAACTTCAAATACCCTCAATTTGCATCTAGAAAATAGCCAGAACCTTCCATATGTAGTAAACCTCCAACCAAAGAAACCTATTGGTGCTCGTATACATCCCCAAATAACGATGTTGACTACAACAAAACTACAAGATGATTCAATAAAATTAATAGCCTGATTGTTCTAAATGAAGATATCAATTTCACCTTTGTAAATGAGAGAATCAACTAAAAGGATTAGTTATGGCTACATTTTACCAAAGATCTTGGCAATCCACATACAACTCAGAACCACAAGAAGTTTCTCAGGCATAAGGAACATAAATACCTACAGTATCCTTCGAGCATTTCTCATACATTGATGTTTTGCTTAAAAGAATCCAAACTAGAAACTACAATGCAAACAAATAAACGAAAAAAAAGACAGAAAGAAATATTATAAGGAGTTATCTCTCATAATGTACTACAAAACATTTTGTGGTATTAAAGAAGGAAAAAGTGACATGAAAAAAGGGAAGATGAAGACCTCGCCACTGAACTCAATATATGGTTCTTCTTTGAGTGATTCTTCATCATCCGGTGCCTCAACAACACGTGCAACTGGAAACTTCCTATGGTATTCACGTATCTGCAAAGAAATGTTAATCTTAGCATATTTCCCATAAAATGTGTTAAACAAAATAGTCTACCACTCTAAAATGAATAGAGCAAAAACATAAAGAATACTGATTCACAATGTGGGGAGTCCTTAGTCTAATATAGTTCCAATTTACATATCCCAGGTCTATATTATGAATCCATGTGCAAGGACCAAGAAGGAAATAGAACATAAAGAAATTTATGACAGCCATTATGCTGAGACCATTAAAGGCAATTCTTACGATTTTCTTGAACGCTTAGAGGTATCACTTATTCTATTTAAGTTAGACTGAGCCTCTAGAATTTATTATGGTTAAGTAAAGAAGAGTATACATATATTCTCTTCGAGTAACGGAGACTAAGCATCTATACTAACTTCTGCTCTCCTTATGTGGGTCGCACCAACATATCACAATAATCGAATTCTTTAAGATAATCCCACAAAATAAGGGATTTAAATCATCTTACGTCAATGCAATCAGACAATCCACAAAAGAAGGGATCATCCATCCGAGTTTACCTCTCTATACAATCTAAGACTCCCCCAAAAACGGATCCACAATCCTCTCTCGCTCGTTTGTACCCGTGCAATGCACGGGCTGCATACTATGGAATCCACATGTTGAGTTGCAATGGCAGACTCTAAGAGGCTGAACCCAATCCTCTTCTCTACAGAATCAGCATATAAGTAGAGTCATAAAGCAGCCCTTGATAGTAGATGATTCGCTTGACATTATAAAATGATTAAGGCAGTCATGGGCCCATGGAAGGTCCATGTATTACTCACAAGGTTAGTCGAAAAACACTGTCTCAATGAACATATCGGGTATCTTTCACTACATTTTTGGCTCTAAATGCAGCCTTAAGTGTGGATTTCATTTTTGCAAAAATATTTGTCCTGAGATAGAAACTTGTGTAAGAACCTTTTTCAACAGAATAACTATCAAATGCATCAAACTTCTAGTACTGATTACTTCATAAGCAATTGAAAAAACAGAAAATACTCTAAGTAAGTTGGTTTAGGTATCACTTGAATTTTTGAACCTTCAAATTGCTACAGTTGAGACAAGGTAGGACCTGACAAGTCTTCAAGTCTTGCAAGTCTCAAAGCTTCAGGCCCTGGCTGAATGACAAATCCATCACTTAGTGAACCTGATATGAAAAACAAAAGTTGTTTTTACTTTTTGGGCAGTCTTTTTGTTTGTTTTTTTCTGTTGATTAGTGGCAGTCCTTCATTTTTTCTTTCCTTGGTTTATGCTTTTTTTTTTTGTTGAGGGGCAGCAGCAGATGGGGGGGTTCATTTTGGGAAAATGTCCCATACAAACCTGTGTCTACCACATAAAACTTGGAGAACTACACCATACACAATGTGTATGTGTATGTTACACAGTTAAATCATCCACTGGGCATTCTCAGTGACAGGGTGTGGAGAATAACTGCAGCTCCCAATGACAGGCATTCACTCAGTTATGATTAATGTCCACCACATCTTTTCAAGAACAAATGGGTAATGAAACAAACAATCCAGTTTGGGGAACAAAATCAAACAACACTTTATTATCCCCCATAACAAAAACACCAGAAAATGTGTCTTCTCTCATTTGGGGATTGAGAAAAGAATTCTACTTGGAATTACTTGTACTCATCAAATGGAATAAAAATAATGCCAACGTTCCAGGCTCATTGCACAAAAATTAGCATAAAATAGAAAAAATATCTCCTTTATAAACTAAAACAATACTGTTCTATTCATCAAATAAGACAAAACAGATACTTGCCTATCAAAATAAAATAAAATAACACAGATAATCTTAGCATGGTTCACTGGTTCCATAAAAGTAAGAGTAACGTGCATTGCTGTTTTCATAAACATATTTTGATAGTGATTTCAGGTACTCATATACCAAAAACTTGTGATATAAGTTAGATAATTATTAACAATAACAGACAAAAATATTTACATCTTCGCTTTCCAGTCAATAGGCCATTCAATTAATTAAGAGTTTAAAATAAAATATTAAAAAATCAACACCAGATGCACCAAAATCCAGATGCAAATCATCTCGTGTTCAATCAATATGCATGCTCAATAGCCACTAAAATGCTGACAAGAAATATTGAAAATAAAAATTAATGATGATTTCTCAAGAAAAGCCAAATTGATGTCATTGTCAATTTGTAGAACTAACAAAAATCCATTCAATGTGCACATACTCAAATATGTGAAAGTTTTGCAGAAAACAAACATCTATCATTTCTTTCACAATTAAAAAAATTGATGAATAAGCATTCAAAATGATAATCATCCCATCATTGACAGAAAAATCTTCCTGTGAGATTCTAACCCCTCATAATACAGACCCCTTTGGTGTTTTCGTGTGTGCACAATCAAATGCGTTGCAGTTCATCACAAAGAGAGATACTGGCCATGAACATTTCTTTACCAATAAAAGAAGGCTATTGAGCCAAAAGAAAAATAAAAAAAAAGTTCATCACAAAGAGAGATACTGGCCATTAACATTTCTTTACCAATAAAAGAAGTTTATTGAGCCAAAAGAAAAATGAAAAAGCCAACGGTTCTTTCATTAGTAGAAAGATTTTTGTTATTGTCATATATAACCTCTTTCAATCTGTCATAGAAGGAGCTGAACACATTCTGCCCACTTGCAGTTTGACCTCCAAGAGCAGCAATCTCATCTTTCCTAAGATTATCCTTGTCGTCGTAGAGCTCAATCTAGCGGGAGAGACAAGAAACATGCAAATTACAACTTTCCAGATAATGAAAAAAACCATACTGATGTAATTACAAAGAAAAGAATGAGGCCCTTATCTAATTTCCGAAGGTGAGGCCCCTATGGTTTATAACGCAAGAAATGCATAAACAGTTCGTCAAAAAAAGCAAGAAAATATCCATTCAAAATATAGGGAAGGAAACAAATAACTGCATCAAAACAAAAACGAAATGCTATTCAAAAATCGACACCTTTCATTTTGATTGATACTCGACAAAAGCACATCTCAACAATAAGAGATAGCAAATAAAAGGTATGATCTTCTAGAGGAAAAACATCATGTTAACAGATATGAGTTCATTCATAATTTCTAATGGAGAGAGAAATTACCAGTTCATCGGTAGTGTGAATAATGTTATCGACAAAACCACGAACTCGATGGTTCTGAAACAATCTCTCTCTGGTGGTCGATGGCTCATGCTGCAAGTCCTTAACAGCGAGGCGCTCAAGCCGCTCTATTTCCTCGTGAGCGCATCTAGTCCGTTCAAGCACAGTCGAAGACATCGTGATCTACTGGTTCAGCTCCGCTGCGTTGGGGAAAACGACCCCAATCCGTTAGGGTTTTGGAGTTAGGAGATGAGAGATAGAAGGGCTCTACACTTTATCTTAGTCAAAAGGCCTTAAAAGGTATTAAGCCGCGAACCAAGTAGAAGCAGAAATGCAGGACGTTCCAAGTTTTATTGGGCTTTCTTTGAAAATTGAGCATGGAACTTGGATTATTGGGCGTTCTAGGGCTTATCAGGGCGAGTGACGTGGTATAAATTCACCGGAGACTAAAACCTGAAAAAGCGTTCAAGAGAGAAATAAAAAAAAAAAATAGCGAAGAAAATCACAAGAAAAATAAATATCCTAAAAAAAATCATAATAAATAAAAATTGTGAAATAAATCACACGAAAATGAATATGTATCCAAGTCATCCGCTACCATCCATAAACACAAGAGGGAAAAAAATATCTACAAAGAGCCTCTCTCTCTCCACCATAAGTAAATGATCAATTTTTTTATTTCATAAAATTTAAATTCGCTTTATATGGTGCATGCCCTCTTCTTTTATACATTTAAATCACCATTTCACGTGACTCTCAAAAGATAGCCTCTATTGTATCTTCTTACTAAAAAACAATATAATAATTAACCAAAATAAATTTCTCCCTAGAATTTTACCATATTCTTCCATCTAACTTCCTGAAAGATAACCGTCACTCCCTGCTTCATCTTTTCCACCTACAGAACTCATTATTTTTTCTAGTTTTAATCCAACCCAAACTAATCCATATTCATTCATTTCTTACATATATTTTGACATATTTCACCTTTTCTAAGATAGAGTATATGCATATTCTTATTTCAGGGGAATTATCTATCAAAGTTTATTATTTTAGACTCGTCATTATGTTTTTAACTAGAAAAAATGAATATAAAGTTTGTACAAGCTAAACTGGTAAAATTTGACTTCTAAGTATCTTTAAATCCCTTTGAAGATGCAATAATAACTTCATCCAAGGTTTTGATGGAATAACATACATTGTCAAAGGTTTACTGTATCGAATTGAATTCAAAGTATTGGTAGGTGCTAGAACAAATGAACCTGAGTTATCGATTAATCTTTTCATTAAAGGTTTGCAAATGCTTATTACGAGATAGTCTTAGCAGTTTCACTTGCTACTTTTTAGTACTGTTTAATTTCCCGATACCAAGTAATACTAGTTCTTCTATGAAGTTCATCTAGAAGTATTGTGAGAAATCCAATCATATGAGTACATGCTACTGCAAGCTTCAAAAGATGACAAACCTTTCTAGTTGCATAGCTTTATATCTCTAATAAATGCTAGATTTCCTATTAACGATTGTGATCCGGCCAAGATCACTCGGTCAAGACCTCTCAGATTGAGTACCTTGGCCGAACCGAGATCCAGAACAATAAGAACAACAAACATAAAAAAATGTGTTCTTAATTAGTTATTATATGTGAAGATTTTTTTCAAGTATTAACTTATTCAGAAAGAAAAATTCAATAATGACCAAAGGGGCTTTAAGAATGTATTACATTAATTATGATTTTTTTCATGTATTAAATTAATTATGATTTTTTTAGGAATATCATAATATTTTTTAATTATAAAATATTGAAATATATATTTATTTTTATTATATTTTTATTAATATTATTGTAGTAATTCATATATTACCATTTTCATACTTGAATTTTCATATTATGAAAATTAATTTTTAAGTAGTGAAGTAAAGATATTTGTGAGGTTTGAAGAAGAGGAACTTACCATTGGTCTCCTTGTTCCAAGTTAAGGTTAAAATTAATAGCAAACCTATGAATCCTTTAACTCTTTTCAAATGGATCTTGAACTCTATAGGTTTTTTTTTGAGGATGATCTTGAAAAAGTTTGAAAGTTGAACTTAAAATGGTATTTGGAATAAATCATTTATAGTGAGCATCTATGAAGGCCTATTAACATTGAAAGCATGGCCTAATCACACATAAATAAAGTATGTAACATAAAAAGGTATCTTCTACCCAATGAAATGCCAAATGAATGTTATTTTTTAATATTTACTTCAAAATATAAAAAATTTATGACCATACTTTTAAAAACTCAAATTCTTTAAAACTACATATGATGTCAAATATAGTTATATATTAAAAATTATAATTTTAAAAAATATTTAATAAACAAATTTAACCTGAGGATGTCTTTAGTAGTTATAATATATTAATAATAAATTAATAACAAAAGAATTCTGATTTTTTCATGAACATCATAATTATATATTTCTAATTATAAATATTCCAATATGTATTTATTTTTATTATAGAATATGTAACATATAATATAATATTTAAGTAAGATGTCTTTGTGATTCGCGGACCTCAATATTTCAAATTAACTTAAATGAATTGTAAAATTTTGAGTTCGACATGACCAATCCAAAAAATCATGGATAGCTCGACTCCACCTATTTTGGTATAATGCCATTATCCATGTTTTTGGAAGAACCTTAGAAGAATGAAGCAAATAAATTGCATAGGAAGTTATTGAAAAACTCCCCAATGGTTTTGCCACAACAGTGGGTTAAAGGGGTTAATAGACATGTTATGTGAAGTGTGGCCTCTAGTTCAATGTCTGATCATGATAATTATTTTGCATCCATTCCAACACCTATGGGTTAGTTGAAACCTGTAGCGTTCATCCTAATGTGATTCTATGATTGGCTCAATGAGATTGTTTGAAGCACTTCATGTAAATCCAACTCTGCATTATGGAAATTATATGTGCACTCAACACAATTTTAACTTCTTTTATATGTACACAGGGCGAATGTACGTAGGCGGGCGCACAGGGCGAATGTACCTGGGCGGGCGCCCAGGCGGGTTAGGCGAGGGCTCAGGAACGTAAGGTATTTCTCGTTTTTTTAAAACTACGGACACCCAAGGTTCTGAGCACCTGCCTAGGCCTTGGGCACTAGGTGGCAGGCAAGCCGCCTAGAGTGTTTTTGAAACCTTGTATTCATGACAACCATGAACAGTTGAAGGATGGAGCCAGGAAGCCAGTCTATTGCCACTGGATGGAGCCAGGAAGCTAGTCTATTGCCACTGGAGACCAATAAAAAGGGGACAGGAAAAGGGAGCCAGAAAGCTATATTTTGGAACCATTTACTAGATTATTTTATAAATTAATAACTTAGAACATTCTTATGACCATTGAAGTGTACTAGGCACACCAGGAGGATCATTAGGCGCGCTTGCATTATTATGTATTGCGTCCGTTGCCTGTATGAGATAAGACATTTGGTTCACATTTGACCGGACAGGTTTATAGAAATGGATTTGTAACTCAGTCAGGTGATGGAAGGCCATTACGCCGGCTAAATGCTTCCTTTGCTACGGCCAGATCTACGGGTGTAACAGCTGCTATCTATACCTCGGCCTTCGCTATTGATTGCTATGCAATCAGAGGGTTCCATTCTTTGCCTCTGTTAGTGGCTTGATGACTAACTGGTTTTTTCTCAATGATAATGGATGAATCAAAGACAAGGGCCCCGTCCACTGGCACCCGATCCAATGAATCAATGGATTACGGATTAACTAAAATGACTATATGCCTGGCAAGCCGCTTAGCGTTTTTTGAAACCTCGCATTCATGACAACCATGAACCATTGAAGGATGGAGCCAGGAAGCTAGTCAATGGCCACTGGAGACCAATGAAAAGGGAACATGAAAAGTCTATTGCCACTGGAGACCAATGAAAAGGGAACATGAAAAGGGAGCCAGAGAGCTATATTTTGGAACCATTTACTAGATTATTTTATAAACTAGGACCTTAGAACATTCTTATGATCAATGAAGTGTACTGGGTACACCAGGAGGATCATTAGGCGCGCTTGCATTATTATGTATTGCGCCCTTTCCTTCAATTGACTATCGACCCCCCTTCCACCGCTATATTATTCTGCTTTATTTTGTCTCTATTGTATTCTACTCTTTGCTTCCTCTCTCCACTTCCTCGTTGTACCTGATTCGCAAACTTGGACCTACTATTCTACTCATTGCTTTCCAAAATATTCTGCCTCTTACTCTTCTCTACTTGTCCCGTGCTTTGAATTTTACTCAAAGCTGCAAAGAGAGCCACGCTCCACTCCTAGTGCTACAGAAACTGAATTTGTAGAAAAATCTACTTAAATTCCAGTGTATTCTTAATTAACCCCAAGGCTTTGTAAAGATAACTCATCTCAGTAATTTAACTTGTTAGCTACACCCGAATGGTGCCAAGAAGCAAAAGCCTGGAATACTAGAGTGGTATTCACTGTGCATTATACCATGTTGGGAGATGACATAATGAAGACTACCAGGTAGAGAATTATTGATTGAATGGAGTAGAAATGGTTCTTCAAATGATAACATATCATGGGGTGTCATCAAATGGCAGACGTAATACTTTTTTTTAACTTTTTCTGTTGGCCAAAGGGATGTTTACTTGAGATCAACCATGATATAGATTTCATATATTCTTTTTTCTTTTTCCATAAAGATCTTGATCTTGAAATTAGCGAGGTCATTCACTACTGTATTTATTAAAAGAACTAGACATCCAATATCCAATTGCAGATTGCAGGACCTTGGTTTGCTTACTATTTTTTTTTTTTTATGCATTTAAAAGCCCCTTTGGATACAAAATCTCAGTTAATTTCATAAGAAAGCAACACATTGAAAAATATCACGCAAACTACCAATTCAACACTTTCAAAAAATTAGTGCTCACTCGATTAAAACTGATTCTACATGGTTATAATTTTATGTTTCCATTTTTGTGGCAGGAGAATGTTAGTATCTGATGGGTATGTCCAAACATAGGTTGGAAGGACAACAAAATGCATGTTGGACTCGTAAAATCGCATTGAATGATTATGATGTGGTCCGTTTTTCTGGGATTCTTATTCTTATCATTCATGGTAGGTAGGGTACCCGAAATCTCAACAATTTGCTAGCATTCATCTAGTACTGTCCAATTTTTTTATTATAAATGATTCATATCAAATTAGATGAGAAAAATCTAAATGTTTGATAAATTGGTAGAAGTAATTATAAAACATTCATATCAAATTAGATATAGTATTAGATGAGAAAAATCTAAATTTTTGATAAATTAATAGAGGCATTAGTCCTGCTCGCACCAAATTGATCTTATAAACAAGGGTACATGAATTTATATATCGCGTTAATTTCTCGAGTGGTTTGATTTTATGGTAGGCTTAATGTTATTGGTCAAACGAAGCTTAATGTTATTGGTCAAACGAAGCACGCAAGCAGGCTTATCCTTCTACAATTATGTTAGGATTACATTTCACTCTCTCCAAGAAAAGGATTTGGTTTCTGAGTGATTCATTCTTTTTGTAAGCTCTCGAAGTGTTCTTAAGAATTTGAGTTCGAAGCCTGTTTTTCGTTTGAAAAAACTATTTGATAGGTGAGCGTGAAGATTTCTAAGGAGTTTGAAGCGTGTTTTTGTCTGATAGATGAGCATGGGTTTTGGTCATTTGGATCCCACCCTTTCAGTCGGAGAAAACCCTTTCTTTTTAGGAAAATTATCGTTAATATATTTTAATTTTTAAAAAATCGTAAAAAAATCCCAACTTTTCAAAACGTAGCCCACAATCTTTTTCCCAATTTTCGGCATTTTCTGTACCAAAATACTTTTTATAGTATGCCTTTCTATCATAATGCATTGTGACCATTACGGTAATTAAAATACCATTGTAAATAGAGATAGAATCACAATACTTCCAGTACCATAATAACAGAAACATGTAATGCATTGCGACCGTTACGGTAATTAAAATAATGTTGTAAATAGAGATAGGATTACAGTACTTCCAACTGTAATAACATAAACATATATTACGGGACTTTAATTACCGTACCTTAATAACATAGAGTATTACGGTCATTAAAATACCGTAATACTTTAAAGTAGTATTATAGTAATTTAAGTACCGTAATATTGCCCAACTCAACATGAAAGATTTTTTACTCTCTTGAGCCTACTTTTTATTTACTCACTCGACAAAAATCTACACTATCAGTAATTTTTCAAATCTCAAACTTTTAAGATATAATCTCTGAATTTTTATATGGGTCTTAAAATTTTATAATGAAAACACTCTTAAATATGTGTTTTTGAGCGAGGGAGTCGATTCACATCGTGCTCCAATGGGAACATATATTTTTTGAAAAGGGTAACCTTAATATTAGCATTGGTTTGAAGCTTTTAAAGTATCACGGTAAAGCTTTGGTTTTAAAGCTTTTACAGTAATACCAGTAATATTTTAAACACTTCAAACCAAAGTTAATAGTAAGGCTACAATTTTCAAAAAATATATATTCCCATGGGAGCATGATGTGAATCTACTCCCTCGCTCAAAAACACCTATTTAAGCATGTTTTCGTTCTAAAAATTTTAAGAACCATATAAAAATTAGGTAGAGATTATATCCTAAAAATTTGAGATTTAAAAAATTACAGCTAGCATGGATTTTTGTCGAAAAAGTAAATAAATAGAAGGCTCGAAAGAGTAAAGTTGAGTTGGGCAATATTACTGTACTTAAATTACCGTAATACTACTTTAAAGTATTACAATATGTTAATTACTGTAATAATCTATGTTATTACTGTAATTAAAGTACCGTAATAGATGTTTATGTTATTACAGTACTGGAAGTACCGTAATTCTATTTATATTTACAATGGTATTTTAAATATTGTAATGGTCGCAATGCATTGCGGTAGAAAGACTACCGTAAATGGTATTTTCATTTCTAAAATGGCAAAAATTGGGAAAAATGGCGTAGGCAACGTCTTGAGAAGTTTGGGTTTTTTTTTTTTTGCTATTTTCTTAAAATTAAGGTATATTAGAGATAATTTCTTTTATTTTTAAGAATCATATACACATACTATTTATATACTGATGAGTCTTATGAGACTTCTAATGAAGTTGAAAAGAGGATCTATGAGATTGTGTTGCTGGTGATCCGCATGTTGAAGA